CTGATACCATGCCAGCTATGGTGGAAAATCAGCGAATCAGGTCTCCCCCTGCTGACCCTTACACACAGAGTATTAAACATTTACCAGCAACCACTTCACATTTCCTCATTGTGCAATGAGGTTGACAACACCTATTGCATCTAGAAGTTGAATTGAAAGGACTCATGGGAAGCACAAGTGATAGCCCTTAATACATGTTGGCATTCTAATTCTTTAAGCCATGTAATAATAGCCCTATCATTGTTGAGAATATTCTTTGGGAGGGGGTGCAGAAGCAAGATTTGACTTGCTCTCACGTCGGTTGGCACAACCGTTTAGCCTCCTGGTATCTATTTTGCCCCTGGGGCTTGACTGTCATGGCAGCCGGTCAACCTGCTCTGAAATTCGAGTTCTAGAACTATGTGTCCTGACTCAGATAATGGGCCAGTGGTGGCAGAGTGATGCAGAGTTTCGGAAGAAAAGCATGTGCATGGTGCATAGGAGGAGGGGATGTACCTCAACCTGATTGTGGGGGAAAAGGGACCACAACCAAAGAATGCTGGGGTACAAAGGGCTGTAAGAAACCACACAATCCAAACCCTTGTTCTACAGATGAGGAGACATACACTCTCAGATAGGGGCTTGGATTTTCCTCTGCTATTGTTGTTTCCCTTTCCTTTTTTTTTTTTTTTTTTTTTTTTAAGATTTTTTTTGAGAGAGAGTGAGCAAGCATGAGGGGGGGGGGCAGACCCCGGCGTTAATGACCTGAGCAGAAGGCAGATGCTTAACTGCCTGAGCCATCCAGGCACCACTTCCTTTTTTTTGGTAAAGATTTATTTATTTTAGAGGTCACATGGGGGGCGGGGTTGGGGCAGGCAGAGGGAGAGAGAGAATCCCAAGCAGACTCTATGCTGAGTGTGGAACCTGATGGGGGTTTCAATCCCACAACCCTAAGATCATGACCTGAGCTGAAACCAGGAGTTGGATGCTTAACTGAGTCACCCAGGTCCCCTTCTGGTTTCCTTTTTTGACCAGGCTAATGCAATCACTGTTTTGAAGACATATCTGCATCCCCATGTTCATTGCAACATTATTTACAACAGCCAAAATACGGAAACAACCTGTCTATTGATGGGTAAATGGATAAAGATAAAATACATATGTATATGTACACAGTGGAATATTATTCAGCCATAAAAAAGAGGGAAATCCTGCCATTTGCAACAACATGGATGGACCTTGAGGGCATTATGCTAAGTGAAATAAGTCAGGCAGAAAAAGACAAATACTGTATAATCTTACTTATATGTGAAATCTAAAAGAAACAAACTCCTAGAAATAGAATAGATGGATGGTTGCCAGACGTGGGAGATGGAGGGTGGAGGAAATGGGTGAAGATAGGAAAAAAAATGTTTTAAAAGAGGAGGCATCATATTCCACATCAGAAGTTTTAAGTTGTCTTTGGGCAGGATCATAGCCCCATACTTTGCATTCAGCCAGCACTTAAATAGCTTCTTTTTTGCTCAGTGAATCGCTCATCAATTAGTCAATTTCCATGAATATGGAATGACTTAATAGATGTCATATTAAAATACAAAAACAAAAACCAGTATACGAGATGGTATAAAGGCTGGAAAGACACAACACAACCCGAAACGCCAACAATGTGTGTCTTTGGATGGTGTTAGTAAGACGAACCTGGCTTTGAGTTCTGGTTCTGCTGCTTACTGGTGGTGTGACCTTAGGCAAGTGCTTCACCTTCGGAGCCTGTTTTCTCCCTTGTGAAATAAGAAGGCAAGCCGTTCCTGTCCGCCAATGGGTTGATGTGAGAATTGTGAAGGGACATCTATAAACTGCATGTCACTATCTGTTACGGACCCTCTACCACTAAATCAAAGAACCGTCCTGGACATTCGTCCCTCAAATCAAGAGGCCCTCCAATGCTCTCCCGCCTCTGGATAGTTCTTTGATTTCTGGTGCTTTTTCCAAAAGGTAGACCTGGGAAAAAAGAGCTCATGATGTCAGGAAATCTAGGGACTTTCAATGGGAAAGGAGTTGAGGCCAACGGTTAAGTGAGGTTTCTAAGTCAATCTCACTGGGAAGAATGGGCTCGGATCTTGGAATTGTGAGGGAAAGTATGCCTTAAACCTGAAAGTTGCATTCCTTTTTCTTTTTCTTTATAAAGATTTTTATTTATTTATTGAGAGAGAGAGAGAATGGTAGAGAGAGAGCATGAGAGGGAAGAAGGTCAGAGGGAGCAGCAGACTCCCCGCTCAGCAGGGAGCCCCATGCGGGACTCGACCCCGGGACTCCAGGATCATGACCCGAGCCGAAGGCAGTCGCTTAACCGACTGAGCCACCCAGGTGCCCCGCATTCCTTTCTCATGGGGAAGAAAATATTCACCTTTTTAGAGTGAGCAGAGTGGAGAGGACGCAACCAGACCATACTCAAATCCATATAAAGCTTTTATTTAAAAAAGTCCTATAAAATAATAATAAATGCAGATTTCCCCATCTAGTGTAGATAAGAAAGCATATGAGGCTGAAAGGCACACATTAATTTAAAATTTCATCACAGGGAGTCAGATGACCTTTTGCACCCAATGTGAAAAGAAGTCCTTAAGTTGCTTTTTGGAATAGCAGCATTTAAGGTTTTCTTGTCACACTTGTTTATTCCTTTGGGATATGGCAGTGAGGTCAGGGAAGAAATGTTCCCCAGAAAGTTTGGTTAAAACCAGTCAACTCCTTTGAATGTTTTCATGGAAATGTCAGACAACCATGAAAAGCTAAGGATGAGGGTTACACTAAAGGTCTAGCTTTGGTAAATGATGTAGAGCTATACTGGGCAGCAGACAGGTCAAATGTGACATCCAGGAGCACTAGTTTCATGTAGGGCCTGACGCGTTTTTTTTTTTTTTTAAAGATTTTTTAATTTATTCATGAAAGACAGAGAGAGAGAGAGAGAGAGAGAGAGAGGCAGAGGGAGAAGCAGGCTCCCAAGGAGCAGGGAGCCCAATGCGGGACTCGATCCCAGGACTCTGGGACCATGACCTGAGCTGAAGGCAGATGCTCAACCATCTGAGCCACCCAGGCGCCTTTTTTTGTTTTTTTTTTAAGATTTTATTTATTTATTTGAGAGAGAGAGAGTACAATCTGGGGAGAGAGGCAGAGGGAGAGGGAGAAGCAGGCTTCCCGCAGAGCAGGGAGCCTGATGCAGGGCTCGATCCCAGGACTCTGGGATCATGACCTGAGCTGAAGGCAGACGCTTAACGACTGAGCCACCCAGGTGCCCCGGGCCTGACATACTCTTAAAGGCCTGACTTAGGTTCTAAAAATTATAGAGCCCAAGACTATACAGAAATGACCAACACCAAGTTGAACAGTATGCTCGGCACTAGTTTCTATACAAAACATTTCAAACTAAGTTCTTTATGACGTGGACCAGATCTGCCAAGTGCCTAAGCCACGTCCAAGCTTTAAGCGAGGCCTCGGAAGTTCACCTGGTGCCTGGGGAGTTTCATGAACCTTCACCCCTAAGGAGAGGCTGAAAGAGGAATTTCTGGTAACAGCTTCCAGCTCAGGGCCTGGGGGTTCCCTAGACAAGGCTGTCCTAATGTGTCTCCTAGAGCTGTGGAAGATCTCTGGTCTCAAAAGAAAGCAACAGGTGATACTTTGGGGCATCTGAGCTCTGGCCAGGCCCCCAGAGTTTTGCATCCTAAAAGAATTTCAAAATGGAAATGGAGCCTCTGCTTTACCCTTGCAGCCCAAGCCCTTTCTGTGGCAGCAGAACATTCATAAAAACATAATTAAAATATCATCTGATATTTCCCTCTGCCCCGGATATCACTTCTTTCCTTCTCAAAACCCACTCCTCCCAAAGCTGACAAACCAAAGCAGAAAATGACAACTGAGGCAGTGATTACCTGGCTCATGCCCATGTCTTGAGGCAGAGATGACAGAGCGAAAAGCAGAGAAAACAGAAGTCTGTTATTGGCTCCTGATTGACGAAATGTACACAGAAGCCAGGTGGGGGGAAGCCATCAGCCCTTGAACTTGGTGGTCTTTGAGAATGGGCTTGTCCTTCTCTCTCTGACCAGCTGGGAGGGAGACCCCATAGTAAGCCCCGACGTGGGGAGGTGGTTTTTATAAACAGAGAGAACTGGACCCATTTTCCTGAGCCCCAGCTCAGAGGAACAGCAGTTGAGACCTGCAGCGTTGTTGAGGAATGGCTTTCCCCATACCTCTGTGTCACCCCTGTCATCTTGAAGAAAGACTTCAAGATGGCGAGGGACCCTCAGGAACGGAATAGGCCTTGCAAGTGGTAGAAGTAACCTGAGCGGGACCAAAGTCCAAGGCCAGATGGGGCAGTAGTCACCTCCGCGGAAGTCACTGTGAACTGATGACCTGGAAGCTCACTGCTCTGACCCCTTGTCACCAACCAGCACCAGGTAACTCCACCTCTCCCCTCGCCACCCCCAGGCCTTGACCTATAGGGAGAAAGTCTATATGTGTGTGGGGACTCCCTCTGCCATTTTCACAAGATAGGAGCTAAAAGAGGTTCTGTTAGGAAAGACAAAGTACTTTTTATACCTGAGTTATGGAATAAGATCCGTCCCTGGCTACCTGTGCTTTCGACCTTTCTGTCTTTCGCTGACTTAGCAACAAAGCAGAGAAGCATTCTGGTGACTTCTAGCCATAGACCTGCAGGGTCTGCAAGTCACGGAACTGTAGCTCCACACTGGGCCACAGCGCAATCTTTGTCTACTAGCCTGTTTCCCACCCACCCATTTTACAGAAAAGGCAGCTGAAGCCCCTTCCATCACTGGTAGGACAAGGTAAAGAAAGGAACAGGATATGCTAGGCAGTGTGTCTGAAATGGGATGCGGATCCTCGTGTGAGTGACCAGTGGTGAGTATGTGCTGTCAGTCTGCCGTGTACACACCGTGCGGGCCAAGGATCCCATCTGTCCAGGAAGGACCATCCTTGGCTCCCCCTCTGTGTGTAGGCAGGTCGGTTTTGCTTCATTCCTGACCACCAGTCAGCTTGTGGAACAGGTCCTCGTCAAGGGTCTCATTCTGGTCCTTAGACCGAGTGGACAAGAAAATGTAGCCCCCGATGTATTCATGCACGATCTTGCAATCCGCACTCAGGCAGGTGAACGCGATGGAGACGTTCTGGTCAAATTCGATTGCCACCTAGAAGAGGAAGGCACAGGTAAGCTTAAACATTTCAAGGAAAATGAGGAAAAAACTGCCTTGTGAAAGGGACACGTGGGTGGCTCAGTCGTTAAGCGTCTGCCTTCCGCTCAGGTCATGATCCCGCAGTCCTGGGATGGAGCCCCGCATCGGGCTCCCTGCTCGGCGGGAAGCCCGCTTCTCCCTCTCCCACTCCCCCCTGCTGCTGTTCCTTCTCTCACTGTCTCTCTCTCTCTCTCTCTGTCAAATAAATAAAATCTTAAAAAAAAAAGACAAAAACTGCCTTGTGATGACCCCAGAGCTGAGGACTGCTTAGGTGGCTTATAGACGATTTCCCTCCCCTCCTCCCCGCCAAATCCACAAAAACCCCACCCAACCAAAAAAAACCCCAATCACCACTCCCATTAAACGCTTACAGTCAACAAGTCTTTGCTCTCTGTGCGCCCTCTAGTGGTCTCAACTATGCCGCACACCTGGCAAAACATTCCAGCTCTCAGGACACGTGGTTATTTTTGGTCGCTCATGTTTAGACATTAAGAACTTCCTAAGCACTCTCTCTGTCAAGGGGCAGGGAGCTTTGCAGACTCTTTAATGGAGACGAAAAGGCTCACCTGAATTTTCGTACACCCAACAGCCCTGCACCCCGTCCCAGCTGAAAGTCATAAACTCTAAAACACTGGAAGAAACAGATTTCACTGGTTCTCAACCTTGGTTGCCCATTGGAATCACCGCTGGACCTTTAAAAGCTGCTGCCAGGCTCCCACTCCCAGAGACTGGGATTTGATGGGTCTGCGGTGTGGTCCGGGCAGCAGGGTGTTAAAGCTCCCAGGTGATGCTGATATGCAACAAGGTTTTAGAGCCACTGCCTGAGAGGTCACCGAATCTCAAACTTTTATTCTATAAATGAGTGCCCCCATGGTTAACAGCCCTGCTGAGAGGAATCCACAGTTCTTTAAAAAAAGGTGTGAGTCTCCTCCCATCCCTCTAGGCTTTCTACCGGAAAAATGAGAAAACAAAGGAGAAATGAGAATTCTAGGTCAGCAACATCAGAATTTTTTTTAAAGATTTTATTTATTTGAGAGAGAGAATGAGATAGAGAGAGCATGGGGGGGGGTCAGAGGGAGAAGCAGACTCCCTGCTGAGCAGGGAGCCTGATGCAGGACTCGATCCCGGGACTCCAGGATCATGACCTGAGCCGAAGGCAGTCACTTAACCAACTGAGCCACCCAGGCGCCCCATCAGAATGTTTTAAATCAGCTGGATGCTAAGGTGCCTCTGACTTGATCTAGAATTTCCCATGCTATAGACCTGGCTTGACCTTAGCCCCCTGGGGTGCAACTGCAATTGATGGGAGACAGAGGTTTTGGGGGCTCCTTAACTCAGGGGGCAAAGCTTTCCTCAGTCATCCCTGCTCATGTCCCTTGCTTCTCTAGCAGTTTTTCCCTTTGGGGACTGGAATGCTCTCCAGGTGGGCAGTTGAGCCTCCGAGTCCTCGACAGGTTAGACCTCTTGGCAGCCAGTCAGATGAAGCCTTTTTGGAATCATTTTGGATGACAGCCCCATCTCAGACAATTTCTGCTAAGCAGTTATCAGCATCTTACATAATCCTATGCTGAGCTGAAGGAAACTAATCAAACTGCTCAGCAGTTTTAGAGTCTATACGTATGGAAAGTCCAGATGGAGGCTAAGCCAACTTGTGGTGTTAATTCAAAACCATTTGGCCTGTACTTGTTAGTGAACTGCCCAGAACTGCCTATGATTAGTTTAGCAGACAACTGGCACACGCTTGTGGTTTCTGAGTTCTACATATATGAACAGAGTAATCTACAACTCTGATGGAACACACATTTATAGCCTCAACACTGAATATACAGAAAACTTTTGGTGTACCTGTCGGATTTCCCAGTTGACGTTCCACTGTTTCATATTTGTGAATCTCCATGTTGTAATTGGAATCCCAGTGGCTGCATCGATTCTAATCAACCTATTATATGAAACTCCCAGAATATCATCTTTCTTGCTTCCTTTAAATCTAAAAAAAAAAAATTAATATGAATTAAAAGAGGCAACTGCTTCCTATAATATGATGGTCATTCTTACTACAATCTCTTGAAGATAATAGGAACATTTCTAACTGATATCCAAAGAATGGACAGCGAGGGATTAACTTTTCTACAGAATGGATTTTTTACTGTGATAGGAAGGGAATATGAAGAATGGAGAGAATTGAGGCTGTCCTGCAGACATCTTTATGTGAAACTGACATCAGAGGAAAGCAAAGTGAGAGAGGGTCAAGTCAATGAATTTAAAATCAGCTGTGTATGCCAGGCACCCTTCTAGGCACAGGGAATACATTAGTGACCTAATTGGATAGAAAATGTCTAACTTCATGGAGCTTGTATTCTAGCGGGGAAGAGGGTCATGAATAAGTGAAATATATATGGCAGATAAGGATCATGAAGGAAAATAAAGCGTAGAAGGGGGACAGGGAATACTGGCAATGGGGTGGTTACAGTTTTAAAAAGCGAGTCGGGGAAGACTGCAGCGAGAAAGGACATTTGATTAAAGATGTCTGTGAGGAATGAGCCCCATGGGTATCCGGGGAAAGAGCTGCAGGGAGAGGGCACGGCCAGTGGAAGGCTGCAGCTTTCTTTTTCTTTTTTTCCTTTTTTTGGGGGCATGCTCAAGGACCTGCCAGGAGGCCAGGGTGGCTGGGCACCATAAAGGAGGGGCAGAGGATGTGAAATCCCAGAGCTGAGGTCTTACGGGGCCATTGTAAGGATTTGGCTTATACCCTGCGTGAGCCAGGAGGCCTTCAGATGGTTCTGGGCAGACGCCTGCTATGGTTTGACTCAGGTCTTAAGAGGATCACTCTAGCAGCCAACTTGAAAACTTAGGGGAACAAAGGGAGAAGCAGGGAGCCCAGGGAAGTACTGTGAAGAGAAGGTGTGGAAGATCGTTACGAGCAGCCAATGTGTTTGGGCCATTTGTGAGAGGACTGTGTTATTATTTTTTTAAAGATTTTATTTACTTATTTGAGATAGAGAGAGAGAGAGTGCGCAAGCTGCAGGGAGGGGCAGAGGGAGAGGGAGAAGCAGACTCTTCGCTGAGCAGGGAACCCCTATGTGGGGCTCGATCCCAGGACCCTGGGATCATGACCTGAGCCGAAGGCAGATGCTTAACTGACTAAGCCAGCCAGGCGCCCGAGAGGACAGTATTCTAAAATTAAAAAGAGTTCTACATTCTAGACTGGGAATAAACTGGGCTCCAAGAAAGGCACTTAGAAACAAATAGGAAGTGAGAGAGGCAAGTGAACACTGTGATCACCTGACAAGGTAGTAGGTGAGGCCAAATTCAGGTAGAGATTGCCAGGCCTGGATGAACCGCAGCTTGGCTTCGACCAGCGGCATCTGGGCCACATTCTGGTGGGCTTCTAGAATCCGGGCTGCCAGCTAAGCAGAAGTGGAAAACGTTGAACCGTCCTTGGCATACACTTAACTGTTCTGTAATCATCCCTTTAGCTCAGAGCCCCAGTGAGAAAAATAAATGCAAGGCCCAACTGCAACTCTACAAAGACAATTCATTCCCATTCATTCATCCTCTGTTCCTCTCTGTCCTTCTATAAAACACATAAATCACTGAGGAGAAGAAGGAACAACATCAGCAAACACCTAAACTCTAAGGTTCATGGAGGTGGAGAGTTCTGGGTCCCTCTTTCTGGAATATGTATGGTGTCCATGGACAATGGTTCCTCTTATATCAGTTTATCTGTATAACTTTTAACCCCCTCTAATGGAAGCATAATTTACATTTTTAATTTGTGGGATTTAATAATTTTAATGAAATCTGGGACTACTGCCATGTGCAGTTAGCGGCAGTCAGCGCTAACAAAAGGAACAGTAATTTCTTAACATCATCTAATACTGAGTCCATAGTCAAAAATCCCCATCAGCCGATTTTTCATGATGGCCTCGATCATTTTAATTCCTCATTTTACCCCAGAAAATAGAGTTTACTGAAATAATTGCTCCAACAAGATTAGCAGTACCTGCTTTGACTTGTGTTTTTTTGCACACCGAGGTGACACAAAACATTCAGGGTTCATGTCCATGGTTTCAAGACTGGAAGCCACCTGAGAAGCTGAGTTCCGGTTTTTCATCCTCAGAAATGAAAGGATGTTGAGGACCTCTGGCTGATAGGAGCTGTCTGCCATGGTTTTGCCCTTCGATGCCAGGATGCAGGCAGCCATCCATTGGGCATACTGATTCTCCTGCAGCAAACATCAGAGGGCTGAGACACAAATTCAAGTGCAAAGCCACCCTGCTGGGAACAGAACAGGATGTGGGCTTTTCATCTCTACAATACACGAAACTGTCACCTACCAAGCAAAGAAAGATGTGAAGTGCCACATATTCTGAGTGGCTGTCAATCACCTAATTTAACACTCACCAAGAGCTCTTGAGTCCTGGGTTGAGTTTCTCTATGCTAAGGGGCTAGAGAATAGGAATGTCAGTTGTGATCCATTCCATGCAGAGAACTTTGCATTGAAAGATGAACCAAGGACACAGGAGCACCATGGAGGACAGAGAGGTGAAAACCCAAGCTACCTGACTGCCTTCCTTGATACCTATTTCCATGTTCAAATCATGTCTGATCTCTATGACAGAAGGAAGGGAGGAAAAAGATCATGAACTGATTTCCCATACTATGTCTACCCTGGCCTATCCTTAGTAAAGATTCTAATCCCAAGGGAGGAATCACGTCCACTGATGGGCTCTGAACCAGTCAGTGGTGGCCTCTATTGCTCTTGAACGTTTGTGTTCATTTTTTTTTTAAGATTTTATTTATTTATTTGACAGACAGAGACACAGTGAGAGAGGGAACACAAGCAGGGGGAGTGGGAGAGGGAGAAGCAGGCTTCCCGCGGAGCAGGGAGCCCGATGTGGGGCTCGATCCCAGGACCCCGGGATCATGACCTGAGCCGAAGGCGGATGCTTAACGACTGAGCCACCCAGGCGCCCCTGCCCCTTGTGTTTATTTTTTACCTCAGGGAGCCAAGAGGCACAGTGCTAGAAGCTGAGGGGATGCAGCCGAAGAGAGGAATTCTTCAGAGCAATAGTCATTGTGGTGCACTGAATTACTGACCTCTGTCTTCATCCTCCTGGTATCCACAGTTTTTGCCATGGGATTTTACAGTCTGTCTCATTGGAGCCAGAGTGTAATTTCCCACCTCTTGACTTTGAGCCCCACCATGGACTTGCTTTAGCCAATGGAATGTGGGTGGAAATAACAGTGTACTACTTGCCGGCCCAAGCTTTAGGAGGTCTGCCATGTTTGTAATTCCTCTCTTGCACTTCTGCCATCACTGTGAGCAGAGCCTCCCCAGGCAGCCTGGCACCCAGAATAAATACAAGGAGCTTAACTTTGAGCCAGGAGCCAAGCCTAGCCAGACCTACAGCTAGAAGCAGATCCGTCCAGATGACGTGAGGCTGGATCATCTGAGCCCCGGCCTACTCGTCGATGTTTCAGAGGCAAATGTTTATTGGTATATGTTGTTTGATTTTGTGGTTGTTTGTTACAAAGCAATAACTGACCAATGAGTTTTCTCATTGGAGAAGACATCTCAGCTGGTTTGTCCTTAGGCTTAAGAAAGGTAAAGGACTTAGCATTTTTTTTTTTTTTTTTTTACTTACATGGTCACATCTCAGATACACTTCATTCATACCATCAGCAACAGGGATTAGTAACTTGATTCCAAATTTTCTCCCTGCTACGTTGACATCTGGCACAACCTCACAGCCTGAATGATAAAAGGCAGGGACAAAATTGAGTTCTGAGAAATATGTTATATAAATCAGGTGTGCCTCTAAAAGAAACACTTTGAACATAAGCCCTTCAGGTTTGGTTTTCCTCTGAAAAACTGAGGAGCAAGCAGACAACATTAACTAAAGGGTAACTAAATAAGACTCATGAACAATTCACATGGATAAGAGAAAATATCTTCTGTTATGATTTTCTTAAGTATCTCATCAACTGAATTCATTTTCCAGGTCAATTTGGCTATGCTAACTCATAGTAACATGGAGCTATGAATATGAACTTTTAAATAAACCAAAGTAGAGGGAATTCTCTTACTGTCACAATGATAAGGGAATTGAGTACACTGGTTAATTAAATATTTCAGTTAATGGAGTTACCAGCACACTCACAGCCACTTTCAGAAATTAGAACAGAAACTAAAGTGACATTGAATTAAACAACCATTCTGGAATTTAGAAAGCTTTTCAGGATCCTACAATGCCTCATGTAATACATGGATGACACCAATTACCACCACTCCGTAGACTTGGATACACCGGGGAAGAAGGGAGAGCAGAATGCAAATAATCACATTTATCGCACCATATTCCAGGCTCATGCTCCATGGGGAAGGGCGCTGTAGGCAGGCTGCCAAGTGGAAACCAGGGAAATAGAGAGGTTCCCCTGGAAGTAAGCCCTACTTCATTGACTAGGAGGTTGGCTTTCATGGCTGGGTCATGACAAGCCATACCCAGATGTAGCACTCTCTTACCTCTAAGATTTAGTTTTTCTACTGGTTCTCCTTGCTCAAGTTCCTTATTTTTAAAGTAGGCTATAGATGTGTCTTTAAAGATGAACCAATACTGTTTGAAAGCCTTTAATATTAGCTTCTTGGGCCTGCAAATTAAAGTACAGTAAGCATTTTAACAGCCATCCAGAAATGTAGGGACACATTGCAAATTTCAAGTGGCTCCAGACGCTCTGGAAACCTGTTCAAACAACATACTCTTTATTGTGGAAAGTAATTTTCACGTTGCTAACTCGTTTCTAAAAACTGAAAATGGGGTTTTTAATAGATATAGAAGTTAATGCAGAGTCTCAGGATTTAGACCACTTTGGCTTTGCTACTGCCTAACATGGGACCCTGGGGAAGACACTTCCCTGCCTGGGCCACGTGTACTGCCTCTGTGTGATGGGGACAGTCCAGCCTCCAACTCACAGGGCATCTGTGAGGAGGCGAAGAGGTAATCTCTGAGAGTGCTTATCACAGCACCTGGCATAACTGAAGTGCTCAATAAATTATTATAATTTGAGAAACATCCATGAATCTGGGACATCTGTCACTTCAGTATACTTCTTGGATCTGAAAAAGCTGTCCACGTGGACAGCACAACTTTCAAGGTATCAGGCATACACACTAGATCTAAAAGTAAGCAACCTTTTCTGTAGTTTCCTCTGATCCTTAAGAGAAACCACCATAGAATTCCCAGTGAGTCATGGAAATCACAAAAACTTACAGCTAATCTACATAGACTCTACTGTTACTAAAAAAAAAAAAACATTTTTGGGGGAAGATCCCCAAAAGTGAGATCTGTGGGGGCCAGAACACTTTATACTCTGGGCTGGACAAGGTTGGTATTGCCAATGGCAGGTCTCGGTTGGGCCATTCAAAATAGAAAAGGTGAGAGAGAGCTGGGGAGTATGGAAAGGGGGTACAGCTGGGCAGAGAAAAGATAATATGAGCTGTCCATGGTTCCGTGGAACAGTGCTGGCCATGGGGGTGAATCAGGGTCTCTCATGCTACAGCAGTGGATTTCTGCATTCAAGAACGAGAGAAAGAGAGGAAGCCTTGTGTTAACCCCACTCATACATACTTTGGGGCAACTTTTTTTTAGACATTTTATTTATTTATTTATTTGACAGAGAGAGAGAGAGCACAAGCAAGGGGAGCAGCAGGCAGAGGGCGAGGGAGAAGCAGGCTCCCCTCTGAGCAGGGAGCCTGACGCGGGGCTCGATCCCAGGACTCTGGGATCATGACCTGAACCGAAGGCAGCCACTTAACCGACTGAGCCACTCAGGCGCCCCTGTTTCCGAGTTTTAAAGGTGTGCAGACAGCATTGTTTTATTATTTTTTAAACTTTGAAGATCTAATTGGCTTTATGAAGTGATTCATAAATTGGGCAGCATCCCACCTGGCAAGTAGAGGGGAGCTCTGAGGCGGGGTACAGAATGGAAAGTTGTCATAGCAAGGAAGCTGGGGCAAGGAAGTTACTAGCAAAAGAAAGGACTGGTCCAGGCAAGGTCACCTTCCATGTGGGGAAGGGCAGGAGGTCTTGTCAGGTGATTACCTCATCTTTTGGGAGATGGAGGGCCCAGGTGACAGAGGACCTCATTGGTGCTGATCAGAAAATTCCCTTCTGACTGATTAAGACTCATTTCTGGGGGAAGCTGAAATTGCAATTAGGTTAGGTATTAAGCCCTAGTTTGGGGACTTGGTCTAAGTGATGCTGTTTTGGGCCTGTGGTTTTCTTTTTAACACTTCCCCTGTTTTGAACAGATTCTCAGCTTAACTGAGTGAGGTGATCAAAATTTAGGCAAGAGAGTATTGTTTTAATGGGCAGTATCATTACTGGCAACGCAGTGACAGTGGAAACATTTCCAAATAAGTGCTTCTGAAATGCCCTCTCCACCGCACTAATCTCTTTCAAACATGAACTGTGTTCTCACTCAGTTCACAATCCCCTTTTCCTTAAAGGCGGGGTGAAGTGTGTTTATTGTTTTGAAAGCATTTGCAGGCTGACCACTGATGGCCACCTGTCATCACAGAGAGGTCATAAATTTGGAACACATTCTTTTGAAAAAACAAGAGTGCGTCACTCCCCTTAGAGGTGTTTTTCCATGTGATAACCAGGGTGGGGGGACCAAAGGTTTTCACGGCCACTCCCTCTTTATGAATCATTATAAAGATTCCCCCGTATTTTAGATGTCTTGTATTTATAACGTTGACTCTCCCTGATAATCTCCCATGGCACACTGTGTAAGTCGGCCTGGAACTTCTTTGTTCAAGTAACTTACCTACTTGACTACAGTGATTGATGCAATGAATGGATTTGATGTGTGGCTTCTCTCTCTGTAATCCTCTAGTGGAACCATTTTATTTATTCCAAAGTAGTCTCTCCAACAGTGGCCACACCTTACAGTTTGGGACACAGATAATTGTTTTTATTATGTAACTTAGTAGTAGGATTATACCTTGTCTGGTTTATAGTCAGGGGTTTGTATAACGTAGAATCTTGGAAGGCTGGTTGGGCAGAAAGTTCTAGACTGATTGTTATTTTCTCTTAGCACTTTCAAGAGATTTCCTAGCCAAGGGGAAGTCTGCTGCCCACTTAACTGTTTTTCCTTCCTAGGAAATTTGTCTTTTCTCTCTGATTTAAAAGACTTTCTCTTATCAACGGTTAGCCTTAGTAAGATGTGCATTTATAGTGATTTACTTTGCTTGGGATTTATGATTCCTGAATTTAAGGATTTTTGTCTTCAAAAATTATGGAACATTCTTAAGCATTCTTTTTTGAATACTTGCCTCTCTCCCATATTTTCTTCTAGAACTCGTAGTAGATATATGTTGAAACTTCTCACTCTACCTATAACATTTTCCATTTCTACCTTTCTGTGTTTTCTATTCAACTGTTTTTATTTCCATTTATTTTAATTATTATTTTTTTTTTTAGAGAGAGAGAGTGCACACATGTGAGAGTTGTAGGGGGACAGAGGGAGAGACAGAATCTTAAGCAGGCTCCACGTTCAGTGTAGAGTCTGATGTGGGGCTCGATCTCACAACCCTGAGATCATGACCTGAGCTGAAATCAGGAGTTGGACGCTTAATCTACTGAGCCACTCAGGTGCCCCTCACCTGTGTTTTTAAACTTGACATTCAGCGCACCTATTCAATTTTAAATATCTATGGCTAAATTTTTCCTTCTTTCTTCCTTTTTTTTTTTTTTTAGATTTTATCTATTTATTTGTTTGACGGAGAGCGAGAGAGCACAAGCAGGGAGAGTGGCAGGCAGAGGGAGAAGCAGGACCCTGGGATCATGACCTGAGCTGAAGGCGGATGCTTAACTGACTGAGCCACCCAGGCGCCTCTCTACGAGTGAATTTTTCATTTCCAGAATTTCTGTTTGGTTCCTTTTCAATATTGCCTCTTCTCTTTCATGACGATATTTATCTTTTAATTTCCATGAGGATTCTAAACATACTCATTTTATGTTTTTCTCAGATTGTTCTATTACCTAAAATTATTGAAGCTGCTAATCTTCTTGTTTGGTGGGTTGGCTGTCTTTCCTTTCCGATGGTTCATGAGCTCACGTGGTTAGTAGTTTTTATCAGGAGCTCAATTTTTAGGGGCTTATTGTTTCCTCTAGAAGGCCCATGCATGCTAGATTGTGGATATTTCCCTCCAGATATTTTTGTAATTACACTTGCTAGGGCTTCACAGGTTTTGTGGTCCTGGGCCAGTTTCCATTTTATTTTTTTCAGAATTCACTTATCATAGAAGACATATAAATTTAGATCTACATCCATGTGTGGCAAAGGACTTGGCTCCAATTTCCTCCAGAGAGACTTTTCATTTCCCCATGTAGGACCCCATGCAAGGATGAACTTCCTCACTGCTTTCTGTCACAGATGGACAGCTTTTCCACTCCCTGTTAAACAGAGAAGGCCACCCTTGCAAGTTTCTGCCTTTACGCACAGGCTTCAGTCCTTGCCAGTACCTTACAACAGGCCTACAGTGTCATCTCCTCTCACAGGGATTAAAATCCCAGCCCCAAACCATGAGAATCTATGTCATGGCCCAAATCCCTCTCTGCATCTGAGGCTTCATTTGTAGATTTAGATTCCCTCTGCATTTCCTGCAAGCTGGACTTCCCCGGTCTCACCTCAACCTTGTACTTACAATTCTTTTATTTTTACTTTATCCAGCACTCACGCATATTTATAGCAAGACTGAAGTTTGCATTAGATCAGATGCATTTAGATCAGTTGTTGGGAACTGTAGTCTACCGTTTATATAGTGGGCTCAATAGATTTTGTTTAGAAAAAAAAGAGCTTCACTGTAAAAAAAAAAAAAGATTAAAAATGGTTCACAGGACTAGCTCAATGTTCTTCTACTGATAAGGAAAGGAAGCCCAAGGAAATGAAGGGCCTTTAAGGGTCACGCACGCTAAGAAGTAGGAGGAGTGGAGCTCCACTCTCCATTCTCCTTCCCCCCTTCTTGTCTCCTTTCTTCTTTGCTTCCTCCACGAACTGGATTATCTATTAAAGTCAATATCTTCAGACCTTTGGTAGATATAGCAACCACCGTGAAACAGAAGACAATTTTGGGTGTTTGAGCAAAGCAATCACATTAAAGTGAAGTGGATGGAGGGCTTAACTCTGGAATGTCATCTCCTTCACTGAAAACATCTACAGGAAGGGAAGGGTCATTGTTTGGTTTGTGAAGAGCCAGATTCGCTCTAGACAGAGAATATGGCAACTTACTTTCTTCACAGAATGATTATTAAAAAATCATAAAGATGTATTCGTGGATTCAAATTATAACTTTTTTTTCTGTAGTCTGACTATAACAATATGTGTGGTTGCAACCATTTACGCCATAAAAGTTAAACTAATGATCCTATTGTTTGAGACCACATTAAAAAGAAAAAGAGCAACCCGTAGAAACCTAGTGACAAAAATGATTACTTTTGGATGCTTCTCACTTATACCTGATTCGCTGTTCACTCTTTCTAAGTCTTTCTTTGCATCACGTGTTCCCAAAACAACTTGTGGTTCTTTTCCAGCCAACTGACCCACTGAAGCGTCGGTGTGTTAAGAAAAGTCAATGAACCATAAAGTGACATAAGTAACTGACAGAACTTCAAAGGGGCAATATTCTTTTCATCTTAACACATCCGGGCACCATCACAAATGTTTTCTTTCTTTCCATGAAATAAAAAACTCCTCTGCCTTTTTAAGTTTCAGATTGATCTGAGGTAACTGGGGAGTTTATCAGAAACACTTAACAGGCAAAGGTAGATAAACTGAGGTGACTACGCTGGATAAGCCCAGGACCAAAGTTCTAGGGACAACTGATTTGATTTTTCAACCATGAAGGAACCTTAGAATGGTGTCAAGTCCTGAGCCTCACAGATGACCAGTCTAGCGTATTTGTTCACTAACTGCTGACACTGGCTGTGTTTACACCACTATTTATTGAGCACGTACTATGAGCCAGGGACCATGCTCAATGCTTCATATATGTTATCTTATTCAGTCCCCCCAATAAACCCAAGAGGAGGTATGTCCCCATTTTATAGATCACGAAACTGAGGCTCAGGCACATGACAATGCCCAAGGTACCCCAGCTCGTATGTGTTGTTGAGCTAGGATTCAGCCCATTGTCTGTCTGATGCCAAAGCTCATGCTCTTACCTTTGAACCAGGAACCTGCCTAGTACGGGTTCAGTTTAAATTCCTGGACTCTTTACCTGGGAGGCTTTGTTAGGAGTAATCCATTTCCCCTTTAAGGGTGACTTACCTAAATAATTTGAGATTATCTGCAAGTTTAGGGATATCAGTAATGTCCTCCTAAGGAAAAACAGATAACATTTCGTTAAGTAGTTAATTAGGTGGTATTGATACCCTATACCTGCACTGCCTAATGCTGTAGCCACTCAGCACATGGGGTTATTAAAATGTGAATTAATTAAAATTAAATTAATGAGAAACTCAGTCCCTCAGTCACACAAGCCACATGTCTAGTAGTGACCTTGGTGGAGAGTGGGCGAGGGAGGGGGGTGGGATGGGGTACATGCAGGGGCTTCTGGGTGTCTGGCAAAGTTCTAGTTCTTGATTTGTGTGGTGACTTGGGTGATTATACAAATTTGTTAAGCTGTACACTTTTTCCCCACTTTTCCGTATGTGTCATGTGTCACACAAATGAAAAAAGTTTAAAAAATTGACCAAGCACTACCATTCAAGTTAAAAATTTGAGTTAGAAACTGCTACTGTTATGTACAAACAAAATATTTTACAAATTTTACCTCAGAGGGAGTAAATCGAGCTATGTCTAGTTCACTGATTAACTTCTCAAAAGGAACCCGGTTCAAAGTTCATTCTCCGGTGTAGGCTGGTGTCTACTTTCTAAATGAAAGGCCTATTGTTTAGCATCGAATGAAAATATTGGGGGAGGGACGGGGAATTTTTCATTTATTCTGAGAAGGATCACGGTCTATCTATTCAGTGGAGGAAGTCAACAAATGAGAACAAATTCAATGAGCCCTGTGTCTCCTATAAATGTGAGACAGGGCTTTGCATCTCTACAGAATCTTGACCTTTAGTTTGTACGAAGTATTTGCTTTTGCATGATACCAACTTCCCATTTTAAGGAAATTAACCATAAGGAAACATGCATTAAATCCATAAAAATATAGTGACTCATTTTTTATCTCTATTTATATCCAATTACAATAGATCCACCTCTCTGATTCAGTGTGCATTAAACTAATAATTACTCCCATGACTGAAGTAGTTAGTTAGACAAAAGGGTGGCACTCAACAGGTGAATCAAACAGGAGAGGCATTCTGCTTATAAAGCCACCATTCAGCCACATTTCATGGATAAGGAGATGACAAAATAGTTGTATGACTTTATGTCTCACCGGAAGATTTTTGTCTATTTCCTGAAGTCAGAAGGGTTCAGGGGCTTTTTAAAGTGTCCCAGAATAAAGGCCCTCACTGTGTCAACCTTGCCCAGTTGCACGGCATGACTAGGTAAATAGATAATAGGCTTTGTATCCGTGAAGCATCTTGTCCATTCTCACAGCTAGCCATACAACACACTGGGTGGTTCTCTCTAGACCTCAGGGGAGGGACTGCCTCCATATTCCCCACGAGTGAAGAAAAGCCATTGGTGGTGGGTGCCTTTGCCTCATACCCCACAGCTTCTCCCTAAGAAATACATATAAATACTGCCATTAACAGCACTGAACATATCTCATTGTCCCTTCCAGAACTGACCTGAGAAAAGCCAGTCAGGTCTTGCTGGCTTTAAGTTTGTGACAAGTATGTTTTCTTTTTTCAAAATCAGACACAAGATTCTTTTATTTCTCATAAAAAAGAGCTCATTTACACATGTCAGTCCATGAGAACACAGCCATGGTTCTGAGTTACCGGAAAAGTTCATACCAAAGCGCTGTCTGCTTTTCCACCTTCTAGGGTCACTTCCAAATTAGAGAGTGCAGCTTCTACTTCGTCCACCTCAGACTCATTTGTAAAATCCTGTGTTTCAGCTGACAGCGACAGTTTGCTAATGTGATACTATGATGCAAACAGAGGTTTTAGAAATGTTATAAACACACATGTATCCATCAGCCCTTTCCTCTTTTTGAAGACAATCCCCCCTGTAGGTCCGAATGTCTCCTGGAAAGAGGTCTCCCTCCTCTGAAGGGAAAATGACATTTTAATCTGAATTATTTTGAGAGGTATGGTAAGTCATGGTCAAACAAAGTCTTCTTCATCACTGGTTCAGCTTGTAGTGGGGATGAGATAAGATTTGCAAGACTAATGCCTTATAGAAGATGGGCGCGTGTGGCGGTTATGAGGAAAATTTTAAATTGAAATGGACTCCCCTCACTTTCAGTCCTTTCTTCAAAGAAAAGAAACAGTATGAAGAAAATGAAACTTGAAGAAAACAAATCTGCTTTGCTTTCTTCCAGAGAGAAGGTACTAGAGTCCCCATACCTGCAGTGCTGCAAAGATCAACATTTCTTCTTCTGTGCAATCAATTTCTTCCAAGAGAATGGCCCACCTGGCTTGTTCATAGAGCTGGTTGATTCGGACAGCATCGTACTAAAGAAAGAAACAGGTAGGTGTGTATGTGTTGGGGGGGGCACATATTCCTCAGTACGAAAACTCTGGAAACACGGAGGCCATTCCTTGTTAATGCAGTAAACTTTCGCTCAGGTAAGTGAAAGAAATACCTATCTTTCCACTGCCCCAGCTCATTTTACTTCTGAACATAGAACTTGTTTTGTCAAGATATTTTCTAGAGCTTCTTCAAGGGGCCAAACTGACCCATCTCAGATTCCATTATTTCTCCCTCTCTTTTATCACATTTCTACTGGTAGGAAAAACCATTGTCACCACCTGTCTACAGGACTCTCTTCATCTGGCAAAACTGTAATTCTGTACCGATTAAACCATAACTCCTATTTTTTCCCCCGAGTATACAATTTACCGTATCCTTAAAGGAAAAAAGGCGAGGAAAATATGGAGGAGGAACAGAAAGAGTGCCTAAACAGATTTATCACGGGTTGATAAGCATTCGTTTATTTTTCCTTTTGCATTAACCTTATACACATGAGAAAAAAGGTGATAGGGGATGTAAAGATCTGTAGCAAGCCCAAATCAGCAAAGAGCATTGCTATCAGGTCAGTGGGAAATCGAGCCTATCGTAGAGGTGTGCTCCTTCTCAGCAGCGCCAAAGCAAGACAAATGTGAACCCACATGAGTGGACCTCGGGAAGCCGGAGGACTAAGAACCTTAAGAGAGCCTGTCTTTGCTTTGTGAACTTTGCGGGGCACAGCACAGGAGCTAGCCCCAGGACCCTCCCCAAACAAACCAAAACAGAACACACATGAGAATATTCACAACAGCGTTGTTCATCACAACTCCGAGCTGGGAACGTTCCAGGGTGCCTAGGCTGGTGCATGGATAAACAAAATGTGGGCCACGTGCACAGGGGGACGCCACTCGGCAGTAAGAAGGAACATGCTATTGATACACGTAAAAACACAGAGGGACCTCAGAAACATGCTGAGTGAAAGAGCCAGACGCACAAGATGGCATACTGTATGAGTCCATCTATGGGAAACTTCTAGAAAAGGCAAACCTGGACACAGAAGGTGGACCAGTGGTGGGCTGGGGCCGGGAAAGCCAAGATTGACCACAGATGGGGTATGAGGCAACTTTTTTGGGTGATGCAAGTGTTTTACTACTGGATTGTGGTGATGGTTGCACAACCATATGAATGTACTACAATCATTATAATAGAATTTTATGGCATGTAAATGATACGGCAATCAAGATACAACTAAAAAAACACACACCACACATGCCAAAAACCAAGCAACCCCTGCCCGCCCCCCCGAAAGACCCCTGCTTCATGAACAGTTTAAAGACAAAATCTAAATAGTATGTGCAGCCACTAAAATTTGAACTGGACTTTCCTATCTGTCTCTGTCTGTCCACCAGTCAGTCACAGTGTCTACAATTCTAACACTGTAGGAGTTTTAGTGAGAGTAAGTTAAATCACCCAATCAGGCTTTTCTCTCAAATGCAGTCAGTAAAGATTTACAAAAATTAATCAGAGCGTCCACACCTGAACAAACCTAATTCCCCTACCACTCCCCAAAGCCAAATAAAACAATTCCTTGAAAGAATGTTGGTTAAACAAAAGTTGGCCTACATTTGCAAACTGACATTAGGAGAAGAGGATCTAGTCTAGGATGTTATAAAGGACAGGCTAAGCCCTGGCTCCCACTGAGGAACACGGGATTTCTCTGTGGCAGCCAGCGGAACTACGGATTTTCTCCTCTGGAGTCTTGTTCAGGTTCCCCCTGAGGCTCTAGAAGCACATCACAGGTTCCAGGTTTTCACGGGTCATGTATTAACCGCCACCCCAATAGGTCTTTGTCTCTCTGAGAACTCTGTCAGTGGTTTCCCTGACTTAGAGACAAATTTTTCCCCTTGGTGGGGATTGGGTACTCTTGCCCTTCCTTGGCTCTCGATTTCCTTTGTCTTCCGGTTTACTGAAAATAGAAATCCCAGACTGGCGTTCGGCATCTGCCTTCGGCTCAGGTCATGGTCCCGGGGTCCTGGGATCGAGCCCCGCATAGGGCTCCCTGCTCCGCGGGAAGCCTGCTTCTCCCTCTCCCTCTCCTCCTGCTTGTGTTCCCTCTCTCGCTCTGTCTCTCTCTGTCAAATAAATAAATAAAATCTTAAAAAAAAAAAAAAAAGAAAAGAAATCCCAGAGTGGGAAGCACATGGTTTCTGCCACCTCCATGGCCTGAATCCCTGTTTCTCCTCATCCAGGCAATTAGGTTAACCCCTCTCTCCTTCCCACAACCACCAATACAAACAAATAACAAGACCTGCTTCCCAGAGTTTCACTCTCTCAAGAAAGGGTTATTCTTGAGATCTAATCACCAAGGATTCCCAATTAGCTGGGAGGCAGGTTTCAGTACCTCCAGGACTCTTATTAAAACTGTTGTGCCTTTTCTCTACTGAACATTTTAAAAAATACTTTGATTATTGGAGTTATAAGTTATTTTTATTCACACAAATGGGGCAAAATAAGAGATAATGAAGGAATTCATTTTGAATGAATTCTAAAGGGACAAAAGAAGGTACAATAAAAGGTCTCCTTCTCTTCCTTGTTCTGGACTGTTTTGTACCTTGTTCTTTTTCATTTGATAATATACCTTGAATATGTTCTACATCAAAAGAAAGCTGATTCTTCTTAGCAACAACACTATATAGGTGTATCATAATGTACTTAACCACTTCCCTCCTGATGGATGTTTAGGTAGTTTCCAATTTTCTTCCTCAAATAATGTAGCAATAACTGTTCTTGTGTACAGACATATTAATGCACATATTTGAGCCTAACTGTGGCATAAGTACAGTGGAGTGGATTTGCTGTGTCAAAGCTATGTAGAATTGTAATTCTGACAGACATTGCCAAATTGCCTTCCATAAGGATCAGATTAATTTGTACTTTGATCTATAAGCAAGGTACAAGAGAGCCATTTTCCCCACACTCTTGCTAAGATAGTGTATGAAACTTTTTGATCTTTGCCAATACAAGGCTAAAAGCCATTCTAGTTCCTTCTCTATGAACTACGTGTTCATATTCTTTGCTCATGAGGCTACTGGGTTGTTGGTTTTTTTTTTAATTGATTTCCAGAAGCTCTTTATTAGGGAAATTAGCCTTTTGTTTGTAGTATGTGTTGCAAAGACTTTTTCACTTTGTATATGGTTTTTTGGCATGCATAACATTTATGAAAACGCACCTATCGTTTTTTGGATTCTGGATTTTGCATTTTTAAAGTATATTATTTTTGAAATTTTGTATATTCTAGTATTTTTGTAAATCTGAGATTTTTAATCAGTACTTATAACCCTGGTGTCACTGCCTGCCTGCATCTCTCTGCTGAAAGCTGGAGAGGAGACGCTCCTTGATTCTACTATACAGTCTGGTTCCCATCTGTAGGTGCCTTGTCTGTTTTACAAGGTTTCATGGGTGCTATCTTTGCTCTTTTTGATTTGATTGTAGATTCTATGAAAACATAAAGCGCATCTTAAGTTTCTGTATCCCTCTATCTACCTCATAGAAACTTGGAACTAAACCTGGTTATATTTATAGCATTCCATACTTTCAAAGGGGGGAGGAGGGAACTCTAAAGTGGTTGGGGATCATTTTTCCTGTGCCCCAAAGCCATATCCCCAAAGCCTGAGTCTTCGGGTCACCTCTGGGTTGATAGCTTCTATTTGGCTGTTAGATTCAAATAGGTTTCGTTCATGAGCCATGTGGAGAGAACTCCTTACCAATTAAGCAAATATGATCATTCACAGCACCCTTGAAAAAAAAAATCAAAACAAAAAAACCCCTCCCTTTTGGGAGAAGCTGTAGAGTAGTTTCTCCTGAAGGTTTTATCAAAGAGCCAAAATTTGCTCGTTTGCCATGACTCAGTGGAAGTCAGGCACTCCAGAAACAAGCTAGGTCCAGGGGCATTAAACCAGGATCTAAAACAAAGACTGACCAGGAACAAGGCTTATTTTGAAGAAGATGCCGGTGGGACCGGAGATGCACCTCTGAAGACCAGACTTAACATTGGGATCAAGGAAAAGACAGTGCCACGGGAGGCAGAATCACTGTTGTGGGTGAGAAAGGGGGCACCTGGAGGGCCCGTGACTCAGTTTATATTCTCGACATTTGGCAGGTTAAGTGCTGACTCACAACTCCACAAACAGGCCAGGCAGGGCCAAGGAAGGGGAAGAAATTCAGAGGATTTATTTCACCACTCAGTTGTCCTAGTAAACTTCAGGTGGCAGATGGGCACTTAATGGGAGTTGCTGACCAGCTGGGGTCTTTAGTTTTACAGATGGTCCCTCTTTCTCATCACCGAAGACTTATTCAGCCCTGCCGTGGGGAGTGTGGTGTGCACCATCACGGGGTCCTGGCTTATTCATGAGAGTCTGCTCTTAACCTTGGCTCTGATGCTCCTTCCTTCCTAGAAGGAGATTTCAGCTCTGTGAGCCACTCTCCTCTTGTCCCTTGATTCATGTGGATGGAGAGGGGCAGTGCACACTACGCTGGGCAGGAAGACCCACGAGACTCCTGTTAACTCAGGGGCAGCTGACCATGCTCATTAGAAACTTAAAGACGAAAATCCAAAGACAGTATATATTCATTGGTCTAACCCTGCAGAGCTAAACAGAAGATTATACAAATTAACCCTAATTCTGAGAACTAAATGACTCAATTTTCCACTTCCAGGCCTTCACATTGAAAAAAGGAGAGAGAGAGAAGAGGCAGCTGGTGGCTCAGTCGGTTAAGCATCTGCCTTTGGCTCAGGTCATGATCCTGGGGTCCTGGGATCAAGTCCCGTATCTGGCTCCCTGCTCGGTGGGGAGCCTGCTTCTCTCTCTCTCCCTCTGCCTGCCACTCCCCCTGCCCCCTGCTCATTCTTTCTCTCTCTCTCTCAAATAAATAAAATCTTAAAAAAAAAAAGAAGATAAAAAGTATCTTACTTTGGGATTCAAGTCAAAGAACGTGTAGTATTTAAATCGTAACAGTAGCTGCTCATCCTCCTGGATGCCTTGTTCCATAAGGGAACGTGAGGAGTCCAGCCAACTAGAAAACAATAGGATGAGTTTTAAAAGTCAATCAATTTTATACACATATATTATAGTATTACCTAATATGTTTATATACATACTTACACTTATATACATGTATTTACATTTATATACATATAGATGTAGATGTACACTACATGTGTGTGTGTGTGTGTATTTCCTTGAACAAAGTCTGAGTAAGTAATATAACCAAAAACCTGTAAGGGGAGAGGACTTGATAATACCTTATATCTGCATTTTATTTTATAGCTTTTATAACTTTCCAAGTGCTTTTTGTATGTATATTTTGTTTACACTGATACTTAAAATAACCCAGGGAAGGGCCAAGGCAGTTCATATTTTCTCAGTTTTATGGGTGAGAAAATGGAGTCTTAGTGACATTAAGTGCTGTGTTCACGGTCATGTGCCTTGTCGTGGAGCCAGAATGAAAATCTGTACATGCTGACTTTCTGCACTGCCTCTCTTCTACACCAGCTGGTCTGACTCAATGCTGGGTGTATCGTATTGGCTAGAACTTTCTGTAACAATGGAAACAGTCTATATTGCCCTGTCCAATAGAGTACCCACTAGTCCCACGTGGCTACTGAAGATTTAAATGTGGCTAGTGCCACACTTTAATTTTAATTAAATTCAAATTTAAATGTTAATATCCACCTGTGGCTAGTGACTCCTGTATTGGATGGTGCAGTTCTAGAGCTGAAAAATAAATACTGGGTAGTGGTGAGGGGTGGAGAATAAAAGTGAGCAACAGAATTAGCGGGGATGAATGTCATCCAGTCCCATGGAGTGAAGACGGCCTGAATGTCTATTATTCCAGGCTTTGGGGGGAAATAAAGATGACTGAGCTATAATCTCTGGACAGTCCAGTGGGGGTGAGTGAGCCTCATAATAGAGGAACATGGTGAGAGAGAAGCAAAACGGAGCCATGTCCTTACCCTGCATTAAGCTTGGCTTTGTCAACCAGAGACCGAGGCTGGTACATATCAGCCAGCGCTTCTGGTGACTGGGGGGGTTGGCTGAATGCGAGGATGCTGCAGTTTTGTTCTGTCAAAGGGCTGTCGCTGAACCAAGTCATGGTGGAGGATGCCGGCGTTCCATTGATGGGGTCATATGTGGGAGTCATGGTTTTACTGTATAAGCCAGGACTTACTGCAAGGCAAAGGGAAGCATGCACTATGATATGAGATTCGGGGGGGGAGGGGATCTTCGGAAAAATAGATACTAACATTGCTTATACTAAAATGGATTTTGAATTTAAATGTCTGTAACATTTAAATGAGTTATGACTGATGGGAGAGGAGTTTTTAGCTTCTGGAAAGGCAGAGAACTCACAGGCCGTAAGAGCTTCTAAAACCAACCCAAGCAAATGTTGGGGACTATCTCCTTGTCAATAATTCAAAATTCTATTTCAGCAGTGAGTTTTGGCACCGTCAGAGAACAGAAGATCTCACAAGAGTGCATATACAGACTGTATTTTTGGCCCAATCCTTTAAACAAATAATAGTGCTTGCGAATTTTAAGAATCCAGCTAGTTGATGGTTTATAAATCACATGGTCTGTGTAAGGAAAATGCAAAAAATGCTTTTTTATTCTTTGCATTGGAATATACTATGCAAGAAGACTTTTGTTGCAAGCGAGCTAGAAATTGATTTGCTTTTATGTAAAAAGACAAGGATAGTGTCTTTCCAGAATTTTTACCTGCCCACTTGTTACATGCCCGATGCGAAATTTAAATTGAATTCAGGAAAGAGTCACATGAAGAGAGACTCAGGACGAGAAAAGTATTGTTTGAGTGATCCAACTAATCTCTTTTCCTCCCAAACTCACAGCCAGTTCCCCTAAAGCTTTGCATTCATCAGCAACATAATATACACAGTTAAAACAATGAGCTATACAGTTGGTAGAGCACGTGACTCTTGATCTCAGGGTCGTGAGTTCAAGCCCCAGGCTGGGCATGGAGCCCAGTTAAAAAAAACGAACTATAAAACAAACCTTATTAAAAAAAATCCTGTGAGTTCTAAAATTAATTGCATATCCTTTCTTCCTCACAGGAATCCTGCAATTGTAGTCCTTCTTTGTTTGGGGCAAGGGAGGCGAGGGAAGAGAAGACAAGGGAAAGAGGCGCAGAGGGAAGGCGAGTTCTTGGGATTTAAGAAATCCTTGGATTCAAGAATGAAACACAACAATAAAACAGCTGTCAGGAATCATACCTGGTGGACCTGGAGTCGTCGGAGAACCCTCCAGGTTTAAAATATCTTCAATTATGGGCTCCTTGTTACTTTTGTCTTTTTTTTTCTTCTTTTTAAAATAGTCACCAGAAGGCTTTAACAAGGAAAGTTCTTCTGATCGTCTGATATCTAACAAAGAAATATAAAGAATGAAAAACTATCAAAAAGTAAAAAGAGGGGGCGTCTGGCTGGCTCAGTTGGAGGGGCAAGCGACTCGACCTCAGGGTTGTGAGTTGAGCCCCATGTTGGCCATAGAGATTACTAAAAAGAAATAAAATAAAACTTTTTTAAAAAAAAGTAAAAAGAAAATTCCTTCCAAAACCCAGAGTCATGCTGGGCATCTGAAATCATTTCTCCGGAAATTCCTGAGAAGTAGATGGAACTAAATTATATCCCTTTGGAAGAAATAGAAGGGAACCAGAGACTCCTAAAATGTGCGTGTGTATGTGTGTGTGTGTGTGTGTGTGTGTGTGTGTAGGGGGTATGTGTGTCAAAGAGTGGAGGGAGATTTAGTCTAATAAAATTACTAGTTGTTTTTTAATTTATTATGAAAATATTTCAAAGATATCCAAAGCAAAGGGAATAGTATAATGGCGCCCTCATATTTTTATCAGCCAGCTTCAACCACTACCAGTACTTAGCTGTTCTTGTGTTATCTATTTACTACCCATTTTTCCCTCCCTCTTTCTCTTTTTTCAGTTCTTTTTTCTAAAATAACAACCAAGAACCCCACCTTTTTCTTTATAGAACATAGATCCTGAAAGCCTTTCTCTTACACTGTGCCCAATCGCTAATTTCATCCCTATGGCAGACAGCACTGGTGCCCTGCGCATCTCTTCGCGGCCCTCACCACTTCCGTGCACTCTGAGGCGACTTCCGGTGGCATCAGGTAGAGGACAAGCCTCTCTCTACCTGAGGGCTTGCTCTGGATGCCACAGTCTGCACTGCCCAAATGCTGATGCAAAAGGCCACACAAGTTCAGAGAGTTAACACTCCCCAAAAGCAGCCCTCAATGACTGACAAGAGTGGCATATTAACACTCCCGCTCCCTCACCCCTTGGGTGGGCTAGTTCTGAGGCATGTTGACATCATCTCCCAAATGCCCCAAATGCGACTGGATTGGTGACACTCTCTTATGGGTGGCCTTCTCTTTCCAGTCTTACTTCCTCACCCCCCAACCAGTGTTTTCTGGAATCACCCCCCACCCTGCCCCAAATAACTGTTTGTCCTTGAATTCTTATTTCAGGGTCTGCTTCTGAAGCACTCAAACCAAGATGATTCCCAGTTTTCTCTATTAGTCAAATATATTTATAACCGCCACTGCTAATCAGAACTCCTGATAACCATTAACCACACTGAGCTGCAATGTGATTCCAAGCAAAAGCTAAGGAATGTGGGTGTTAAGAGTCTGAAAGCAGTTTTCCTGGAGGCAAATGCACTGATGTCACAGGTCCGGCCATTTTTCAGTTCAAACACTGCTTAGTGCCGAGGCTGAGGCTAGCAGTTCGGCTCCAACCTCTTCCCCTGTAACCAAGGGTGCTTGATTGTCAGGTGGCAGCACACACCTGTGCCCATTCCAAATGCATAATTTATACATGAGACCAGGAGATGAATCAGAATTTCCAGTAGGAGCATTAGAAAAAAAACAACCAAGCCAAACCTGCATCTCCAAGCCCAAGATTTGCATCTTTTCTTTGTGAGAAGACCCATCATATTGCTAAATTTGATTTAGCTTCAGTTGAACAGATATAAAAGACAATGATTAGAAATGCCAGGTTGAGCCCTTTAGAACTACTATGAAGATATAATCTGGAAAAGAGAAGAACGTCTGACTGCTTCTATATATTTTGCAGCCTCAAGTTTTTGGTCCCGGCCACAATGTGTGTTTCCAGTCTCCTGTGGATTGGGTTTTATTTAATCATTTCCTTTGTTTTCCAATCCTCATTGGGATATTGCTGGAAACAACGTGCCCTGCTACTTGCCATTTGCCCACCATGCACCAGGGGCACTGCTGGTGAGCTCTGTAATGGAAGGTTCCATTCACTTGTTCACTTAACAGTTAATGAGCAGCGAACGTGTGCCAGCTGTTGTGCTAGGTGTTAGGAACCTGGGCATGCTCCAGTAATGGTTTCTGTCTTCACCCTATTTAATACCATAGCAGTCCTCACCGACCAACATTGGAACTCCCAATCCTGCATATACTGTTAAGAGTTTTTCTTTTTCTCTCTACCACGTATCTCCTTTTAATATCTTATTTTTAAATTACTTTTACATTCATTCTTTCTTTTCTGTTTCTGTATCCTAGAATGTCAGCTCAAGAAGCTCAACTATTTTTATTGCTAACCAATCCCTAGCACTCGCCACAATGCCTGCCTAATCAGTATATATTTGTTGAAGGAATGAATGAACAGTTTACAGTTTAATGGGGAAGAGAGATTACTCACTCAGATACTGTAAATGCTAAATCTTAGCCTTGGAACCAAAGAATGTACCTACATACTTTCAAAAAGTATAAAACAAGAAAATCTTCATGACACAGGGTTCGCTTCCATTATAGAAGTTCCCCAAATACATGGTTTGGGCAGTGTTGTCCCTAATGACTGTTAAAACCGTAAGAATTCGTTTCCAATCCATAATTAAGTGTACCCTCCTGCTTAAAATAAATTCCACAAATAATTTTTGTGGCTAGAGTATTTACTGTAGTGAAGTGTTAGTAAAGCAATTAAGACACTAAAAAACACCATTATCTCAAAAACAATAAAGATATATCAGCTCTATGGTGATGATGATGGAATGGAACTTTCTTGTTTGCCTTAAATATAATGATGATATTAGTATGGCTTAGAGGAATGAATTTTTTTGGGGGGGAATCTTAATGGGTTTGTTTTTTCTGTTTACAGATCTCTTTTGAAATAGTATTAAGCTCTGTGGAAATGAACCTGATTTATTCCAATAATGTTTCATTTGGTTTAACTCTACTTACATGGCTAAAGTCCCCAGAAAAAGCCTGAAAAGTATGCTTCCTAGTAAGGGAAGTGTAGGCGGAAAGCACACATAATTTTCCTGTCCTCCTTGACCAACAGTTCAAAGGGCATGGGGCCCCTCCAGGGTACTCACTCAGGATTTTGCAGATATCACTGACAGCTTTAAAAACCACAGCTGAGAAGCTGACTCGCAACCTCACTGTCTTCACGTTTGGCAGACGGAGGCGAAGCATTTTGTGCTGCGGGGTGAAGAGAAGCTTTGCATCTGCCTGGACCCCACATTTGTCCAGAGTCCAGTGCGTTTTCAGAAGCCAGCAATGTTTCTGTTCCCACCAGAGGGCAAAGTCTGACCAGTCTTGGGATATGTCTGCAAAAATGGAAAATACGATGAAGTGAAACGAGACAGAACTCTGGAGTCCATTCCATTGCATGCCATTGCGTGCCAGAGCTGAAACATACACATGGTCTTCAGCTCCCCATCTCCTTTTACAACCCAAGGCTCCACAAGCCTGGAACTCTCTTCAAAGTCTCTAAGGTGGCGCAGGTAGAAAACAGAGACTGCACCTTATCATGATTATATTTGAACACAGTGAAAGGAACAGAAACATACACATTTTGTTCTTGATAAAATGGCTGGAGTTCTTTTCCCTAAAGTCCGTTAGGGGCATGGTCCTTTCCGGGAAAGCCAGGAGCATTTGACTTTAATCAAGATTATTTCCCTACAAGAAATGAATCCTTACACTGTTGCATCACAAAGGAGTATCAGTAACTCCCAAAGTCTGCACAGAAGGACTATAAAGTCGACATTCCCCCCCTGCTCAATGACCAGCTCTCTTATCAGCACCTCCAGATTCCCAGTTTCCAAAGTGTCTACCTGAGATCAGCTGAATATTCCCTCTCTTAATGTCAGCGTCAACGTGAACTCTCCTCCTTCAATGCTGAGAGCAAACTTGAATCTTTTTCCTTTGTCAATGCTGGAACCAATATTCAATCTTTTATTTGTTTTTTTTTTTAATGTTTCTCTCTTGTTCTCTCACTTTATGTTAGAAAACCTTTCTTTCAATGCTGTTAGTAGAAGTATAAATGCTGTAACTATTTTGGAAAGTCGTATTATGCAGCATTTCCTCTCTGAGCCATACCCCAACAGAAATGCCTCTCTCTACTCTATCTACTCACCAAAGACGTGTAGTATAGCAGCCCTATCTGTAAGAGCCTGGAAATGGGAACAACCCAAATGCCCATCACTAGGTAAATGGATAAACTGTGGCATAATCATATGATGGAATATCACACAGGAATGAGAGTAAACGAACCAAAACTGTATGCAACAATATGGGTAAATCTCACAGACATCACGTTAAGTGACAGAAAGCAGATGCCTAAGAGTATGTCCTACAGGAGTACACCTATATAGAGTTTAAAAACACGTAAAATTATTCCTATGGTGTTAGAAGTCAGAATAGTGGTTTCCCTTCATGGGGCAGTGCCTGGGAGAGGGGGTCAGATGTGATACTTGGGTGGGGGAAGTCAGTAATATTCTATTTCTTGATCGGAGTGAAAGTTATATGACTGTGAAAATTCATTGAGCAGTACACTTAATGATAAGTGCACTTTTCTGTGTACATATTATACTTTAATGAAGACTTACTTAAAAAAAAATCTCTATCTCATTAGTGTAAGTGAAAAGCCAACATCTGGACAACTTTGGGGGGAAGGTAAAAACAAATAAGAGAAAACAGAACACTATTAAGTTTTAGGTCGATCATGTTTCCTGATGTGAAAACTGACCCTTAAGACTTCTCTTTCTTTGTTTAAACAGGAAGAGTAGCAAATGGTGGGTATGTGTTAGAAGACATATTAGCACTGAGCTGACTTTATCACTGAGCAATCAAACGTCAACAAAGAGAACTGACACGGTAATCTAATGCCATGTCACATAAAGTCACTTCAGATGCCACCAGTGGGATGAGCCTGTGGAAACATGGTTTCATACCTACTGAGGAACTTTAGTTTGCCACCAGAGACCCCAGTTTTTACAAGAGTGGTTAGGGGGTTCAGTTTATGGCTTTTGTAGGATTCTCTATTTCTCTTCTTCCTGTGGGAGGGGGCTTGTTCTCTGAGCCATTACAAGATAAAAAAAGCAGAAAAACTTAGATGATCAGACAACCTAGATCAGCCATTTACTGTTAGTGCAATAGAGAGGGTTTCAAATATAGGGAAACCATAAAGAAACAGTAACTTACTGATCTGTTCTACTAACTTGAGCATCAACCCCCCAACATGCAGGTCTCCGGACACTCTCAGTGTGACATCTTTCTGCTCCTCCTCGTTTGGATGGTCAACTCTGATGACGAGCTCCCAAGAAGCAGATGCAAAGTCGCTGGATGAGAGCATCGTGACAAACGCAGGTGTCTGCCGGATAAAAAGGCAGACACAGATCAGAATACAAGAAGGTAGCTGGAGCTTGCCAGGAGACCCTGCAGGGCAAAACTTTTTCTCATTTTAGCCTCTTCTTCAGGAACTCTGCAGGGTTCCCAGTGCCCCATATTAAATTCAACAGCTTATCTTTAAAGACAAAAAGTCCTATAAAGATGGTCTCAAGCCTTCCAAATGTATGGAATTTTATCTGTCCACAGGCACTTGCCTATTTATTTTCCGTGCCTGCCCAATGCATCAGTCTTCACTTTCTGTCTCTATTGACTTCTCTTGACTTTCTCTGAACTATTGTGGCAATAGGCAACAAATCGTGGGAATCCTTGATATCTTTAAAAAAAAATCAACTTCATTGAAGTGTAATTTGCATATAACAAAACACAGAGATTTTTTTTTTTTAAGTAGGTTCCATGCCCAGCATGGAGCCAAACATGGGGCTTGAACTCACGACCCTGAGATCAAGACTTGAGCTGAGATCAGGAGTCAGATGCTCAACCAAATGAGCCACCCAGGCCCTTCTGCATAGATTCTTTTTTGAGTATAGTGTAACACACAATATTACATTAGTTTCAGGTGAACAATATAATGATTCAACAACTCTCTACTTTATGCTGTGCTGACCACAAAAATGCACGGATTTTAAATGTACAGTTTGATGCCTTTGTTATATGCAAATTATGCCTTCAGCTAAAGTTTATTTTAGAAAAGGATGCCGTAAAAATCTTCCTCTATCTATATTATTATATTCTCCCATAAATATTGCTGACATCTTCTGGTATGACAATTCAAAAAATGGAAGTATAGCAAAATAGTTTCTATTTCAGTCATACACTATGTAGTTGTACCTTAAATGCATATGAAGATATAGATCATTAATAATTATTGTCATAGTATTTGACTTATTTGAGCTACCATTTTATATCATATCAGAGTTGATAAGTTAAGTGGATCAATTAAGTTTTTGGATATACCTCTGGCAAAAGATTTAAAACAGGAGTGACAGACATACAAAGCCCACTCTTCAAAATACAGATGGGGTGAGAACTTCAAAATCAGAGTTTTCCTCTTATTGGAGGAACAAGAATAAAATAAGCTATGCAGTATCAAAACTGGAATGTTTCGGGGGTAATGGGAACACTGGAACCTGAAGTTGGCAGAATTAAATTGAGGGCTCTGTCTTACTCCTAAAAAGAAAACAAATGATCCTATCATTCCTGACTATTTTAATATTGAAAAGAAAAATCAGTCATTTAAACATTAACACATCTTTTTCACTTCACTATGTAAAGACAGCTTATGAGATGTCCATGTTTTCATAAGGCCTATTTTTGAGAAACATCAGTGCACTCAAATTCCTAAAGAGGGGCTTTTCCAAGGGCAAGTGCATGAATCCCCTGGGGATCTTATTCACCTCAGATTCTGTTCAGCAGGTGTGGGGTGCAGGTGGAGACCCTGCATTTATAACAAGCTTCAGGTTAACAGGTCTATGGCTCACACTTTTGAGTCCAAACAGCCACGTGGAAAATTAGCTTCAGGACTCCGTTCCACCCTTCAATCTACCCAAATCAATATGAAGCCAGGGACTGTGGTGACACCTGAGGGATATTATTTTTAATAATAATCACCCCTCAGTCATTAAGCGTCTGCCTTCGGCTCAGGTCATGATCCCAGGCTCCTGGGATCGAGCCCGCATGGGGCTCGCTGCTCTGCGGGAAGCCTGCTTCTCCCTCTCCCACTCCCCCTGCTTGTGTTCTCTCTCGCGCTGTGTCTCTCTCTGTCAAATAAATAAATAAAATCTTTAAAAAATAATGATAATAATTACCCCACCAGTGGCATACCAGTGTTGTGTGCATTTGAAACTATTCACATTTGAAAGCATAAGAGAATCTCAAAATACACAAAGAAGATACACTGTAAATCTGAACGGGCTCAAGGCAGATTTTATTTGTTCAAATCAAGTTCAGGAGTTCAGAAGTAGCTCCTTGTGTTTGTATGACCAGAAGGGATATAATGCTTGTACCTCCCCATGCACAGAGCCACACATGGAGACCTCCTGCTTGGGCAGTGAATGCCATATAGTGACTATACTGGGCCTAACCACTTGCTTCACTGTCATCAGCAGGCTCAAGTATCATTTGTTACCTACTTACCCGGTGATATACTCTGTGTGAACAACTATTTTGTGTTATCTCCTTCATCTGCTCAGCAGTCCCGTTAGAAAAGAGGAAACTCAGGCTCAGAGAGGTTAGGCAATTTGTTGGAAACCACACAGCAAGTTAGATGGTGGAGCCCAGACAGAAATCCAGGTCTTTCTAACCCCAAACTCTTAATCACTACACTGGGACACATCCTTCATAAAGTTGCAACACCAATATGAAATAAAACTCTTAAAACCACATTAGCTAAACTCTCAGGAGGCTTCACTAAGCATTTCTACTAACATCTTTCCCAGTGAGGAAGCAACAAAGATAACACCATAACATGGCACTGAACTATTTGACTTTAAGACCCTCACAATTTCTAAACTGCTATGGTTCGACGTATAGTTATTTTTATTTTTTATTTTTTTATTTTTTAAAGATTTTATTTATTTATTTGAGAGAGAGAGAATGAGAGAGAGCACGAGAGGGAAGAGGGTCAGAGGGAGAAGCAGACACCCCGCTGAGCAGGGAGACCGATGTGGGATTCGATCCCGGGACTCCAGGATCATGACCTGAGCCGAAGGCAGTCGCTTAACCAACTGAGCCACCCAGGCGCCCAACGTATAGTTATTTTTAAAAGTTTGTACTTTACTCATATGTCGAACATAAGCAATAGCATGGAGGACTACAGGGGAAGGGAGGGAAATCTGAAGGGGGTTGAAATCAGAGAGGGAGACGAACCATGAGAGACTAGGGACCCCGGAAACGAACTGAGGGTCTCAGAACGGAGGAGGTTGGAGGGAGGGGTAACAGTGTGATGGGTATTAAGGAGGGCACGTCTTGTGATGTGCACTGGGTGTTATAGGTAACTTAAGAATCACTCAACACTACATCAAAAACTAATGATGAACTATACAGTGGCAAACTGAACATTAAAAAAAAAGTTTGTACTTTAAAGTGACTCCTTACTGCTTGTTTCATGAGTGTCACACATTGATCTTTTCCTAACTTGGGCAATCAAAACACTTCTCAAAAAACAAAAAAAAAAACAAAAAAGAAAACCCACTTCGCAGGTAGGCAACATATGGTGACTCCCTTACAGCGAAATTCAGGCTAAAATTGGACAATCTGGTTTCCCCGCATTCCTCTCCTATCTTCCTGCACCTTCATTTTTGAGTGAACTTCTCATTCGCAGCAAGCTGCTACTTGTTCAGGGGAGCAGCAAACACCAACCGGAAGACACAGAAGGAGACGAGAACAGAAAGCAAAGCGCGCAGGCTGACCTGCCTTCGCTGGGGGAAGCCAGCTGTCCACCTCCTCCTGTCCTCCTTGACTACAGAAAATGCAACAAAGGACAGCCAGACAGGCAGACAGCCAGCCAGACAGAAAGATGAGGGAAATAGCCCCTGATGCTTCCCCTGGAAGATCAGAGAGTGTGCCTGTCCAAAGGCCACTCCGCCTGTCGGTTGCCAGTCCTGCAGGGTCCTGGGGCCAGGGGGACTGAGGTGGGTGCCCCTGCCCCATAGGGCAACCCCCGCGGCTACAAGGAGAGTTTATTTTGCAAGGCCAGATAGGCAAGGCCGGAGAAAGTGGCCACACGCCGGGGACGTAATTTTTAATTCAGCAGCTATTTACATGCAAGGGGCTGAAGAAAGGAAGGGGCAGGGGTCTCCAGCCTGGGCGGTGCCCCTCACAGCCTCCCCCCCGCCCCCCTAGCTTTAGCCCCCGGCACCCACCTGCTCTTCGGGCGCGGGTGGCGTGCAGCCTCACGGACGCGCACGTGGGCGCCTGCGCTCCCGAGATGCCGCCGGAGGCGCCCCAGGCCCGGCGGGCGCACGAAGCGGACGAAGCGGGGTGCCGGGGCCGGCGCTCGCGGCGGCCGCTCGGCTAGGCTGGGCCGGCTGGGCTGCGCGCGGCCGCTGCGGGGAAGCCGCCCCCGACCTCCCGGCGAGGCGCGGCACGGCGCCTGCCCCCAGCTGGACGCGGGGTGCGCGGTCTCCGCCCTGCGCGGCCCCCGGAGGCCCGGCCGAGGCCGGCGCGCGGCGGGGCAGGTGAGGGCACGCCCAGCCCCGGGCCTGCTGGGTCTCGCTCCGGGAGAGGGGAAGCGCTCGGCAGAGTTGGGAGGGCTGAGGATGGCCGAAGGGCTGCGGCGCGGCGCGGCGGGAGGGCAGGGAGAACCCGGGCAGACGCACGCCGCCTGCGCCCCTCCAGCGAACTCTCAACCGGCCCCTCGGAGGCCGCCTCCAGTTTCTCCGGTTCCCCGAGGCCTTTCGGGGACTAGCCCAGGTGGCTGAAGTCCGGCTACGTGCCCTGCCCTCCAGGTATATCCATCACTCACACCCCGGGGTGCGTCCAGGTCCGGAGACTCCCTTCTCCCCTTTAAAGAGCCTGGGGGACCTGCGATCGCCAGGTGGAAGAAACGAGAGCGGGTCATTTCTGAGTAAGAGGGTGATGTAAACCCCCGACAAGGGCGAGGCGCCCGAAATATGCACAATGCAAGACCCCAGGGCAACTCAAGGCCACGCCCCAGGCCGGAATTGGGTGGCTCACCTCAGATTCACCACCTGGTCTCGCCGGTCACCTTCCTGTCGGATTTACTCCCAAAGAAGGCTGGGTGGGTGACTTTGGGCAATGTACACAACCTGTCCAAGCCTCCTTGGTTCATATTACACACATCTGTTGAGTGTTTACTACGTGCCAAACATGGGGCTGAGCTCTAAGGATGCAGTGGTTTAATGAGACAGTCAAGAAAATGATAGTTTCCTCATCTGTGAAATGGGTAGAGATGGAATGTCCACCACCATTGCAGGGTTTCATGCAGTAT